GAAATGCAACTTTCTGGTTTGGACCCAGCTGTGACTGAGAATCAGCAGAGAGTTGCTGCAAAATCTTCTGAGAGTCGCCACGGGCATTATATTCGTGCCAATGACGCTGTCATCCTCCGTTTATTAAAGTTCTGATGTGGTACCCGTGGGCACTTCACAATCTGACCACTTAACATTACATCTTTTCATACTTAATACGCTTAATGCAACTTTCTGGTTTGGACCCAGCTGTGACTGAGAATCAGCAGAGAGTTGCTGCAAAATCTTCTGAGAGTCGCCACGGGCATTATATTCGTGCCAATGACGCTGTCATCCTCCGTTTATTAAAGTTCTGATGTGGTACCCGTGGGCACTTCACAATCTGACCACTTAACATTACATCTTTTCATACTTAATACGCTTATTTCTGGTTTATACTATAACCCTATTTATGTAATTTCTAAGCAGGGTGGGGAGGCTGTGCATACCTCCCGCCCCACTGCGGAAGGAGGCAAACGTTATTTAAGTTTGGGTTTGTACTCCGAGAGGAACTTCTAGGTGTTGTTGTAAGACCCTTGCAGCTGCATTCTCCCAGAGCTCATCTCAGTGTCTGTATCTGTGATGGGGTGTGGCTTTACCTGGATGTTTTGCTGGCAGAGGCTTTAGTGTCTAGCACAGCATGACTAGTTAAAGGGAGGTGGAAAAGGTATACTCAGTGGTATCTTCAGCATCTCAGATGGCATTTCAGGGGTCCCAAACCATCTCAATGCCCACTGCCATGGCTCATCAATACACAAGTTTAAACTAGTACGGGTCAACAAAATGGGTGACCAAGGAAAAAAATCCTCTTTCTTTGCATAGGCAACCCCTTTGCTACAGGGATGGCAGGTGAATTAGTTAAAAATATTTGGAGATAAGGAAATAGGAAGGAAGATCAGTATAGACGGGATCGAACTAGAGAAGTTCATGTATTTGGGGAGCAACCTGGCTTATCTAGTCTGTAAGAAGGAAATAGCAACTAGACTAGCGAAAGCAAGAGCGAGTCTGAAGGCGATGGATAAGATCTTGAAAAGTAAAGCGATTAGCTTAGAAACGAAGCTGAGCATCTTGAAAATGTGTGTATTTAGCAGCATATTGTATGTATGTGAGACATGGGTGATAACGAAAGATTCAAAGAGAAGGATATTGACATTCAAGAGGAGCTGTTTAGAAAGATCCTAAGAATAGGAGGGGTGCAGAAGGTCACCAATGAAGATTTATATCTGAAGATACAGCCGAAGGAGAACCTACTGCAGAAGGTTCTACAACGGAAGTTACAACTCTTCGGGCATATCTGCAGAATGAACGATGAGTGAAAAGTTAAGACCCTGGTATTCGGCATAATGGATGGTCTGAAGAGGAGAGGCAGACCCCAAGAGAATGGGTAGATGATATAGTAGATTGGTGCGGAGCTAGTCTATGGAAACTAAGCCACTCTGCACTGGACAGGGAAAGATGGAAGGAAATAGAGAGGCATCAGACACGAACAGGCGTTGAGTCCATGGTTGTTGATGAATTTTATCCCGTGCCATGATAATCACCACTCTTGGGGTCTGGGAAGGGTGAGGGTCCTTTACCCAAGAGAGGAAGTAAAGGGATAAGTTTGCAGGTGGACAGAGAGATGTTACTTATTTTTCCCAACAAAATGGGCACAGGTGTCATGTTACCATCCAAAATAAGCCAATTCTTCTTCGCATTGCACAGTACCGATTGTTGTGGGAAGTAAGGGTGTGGTGTGTGTGTGTGGGGGGGAGGTGCTGCAACATCCCAGTCTTGGTGCCCAGCATGGCCTCCTGAACCAGTCCCAGCTGCCAGCCTGTGCCCAGAAACTCTGCTGCCATCTTGGGTCCCATTTGCCAGCCCCACGGTCCCAGTCCCTGAGTTCTCTGCTGCTGCCCAGGATCCCAGCCACCATCTCCATGCTTGGAGCCTTCACAGCCCGCTCCAGCTGCTGGCCCTGGGGGCTCTGCTACCTCCTAGGGTCCCCACCACTGGCCTCAGACTGGGGCATCTCAGCTGCTCCCATCTGTGGCCCCAGCAAGGGGCGTAAATGGGGTAAGTGTGGCAGGAGGGGGCACCCAGCACCCCCAACCAGAGCCTGTCTCAGGGGCAGGCGAGCTGGGTGGTTGCCCAGGGCTGCCATTTTCAAGGGGCCTCCGACAGAGACGGTCTTAGGGGTGGGCTGTGACCAACCTCCTGAATCCTCCCTGGTTTCCCTGGTTACTCTCCGATCCCTTTTTTTTTGCTTGACAGATTTTTGTCCGGTGTTTTTAAACCATCTGACAACCCTACAGGAGAGCCGGGTGGTCACCTGGGGTCGCCAATTGGTTAGGACCAGCCCTTCTCCCAATGTAAATGCTGTTCCAGCACCAGGGACGTTCAGTAATTCTATATGAAGCTTTGCAAGGGAGCTGACAGTATCAGGGTTAATTTTTAGTAAAATTTTGCAAACTGCAATAAAAATCACTCCCGTGCCGTTACTGAGCTTGTGGTGATTTAGGTGTCTATTTATATCTCTCTGTGGATTGTACACATGTCTGTGGTGTCATCGTTAGTTTCATTTCCATTTCATAGTGAATAACTACAATTAATAATGGCTGGTCAGACCCGAATGTGTAGAGGCGAAATGATGCGCCATGCCAATTTTGTCCTGGGATCTGGAAATAATAACTCATCGAGCTCAACATAAAGTAGATAGCACTTACCATTCTCCCCTAAGAAAATACTCATCCACACAGATTACCATGAGTTTAACACATTGCTCCAGGAGCAAACTGATTTTACTCACCTTAGGTTAGAGTGAATCTTTAGTGTAGACTTTCTTCTATGCCATATTCCAAGGTGGATTTAGACAGCTGAGGGATCTACCACCTTGCAATCCGGTTAGCGAGTGTTCAGATCTTGATGTTTATGCCAGTTTTTTTATTAATGTTCAAAAGTTACATATGGACCCATTAAAGCTTTTATTCTTCTCACAGCCGGTCCCTTGTAAGAGTTTCCTTTCAAGGCTGCTGTCACAGAGTCCCACCAAGAAAGTGTCAGACGTGATAGAATGCGAGTAGCACTGTCAGCATACTGAATATGGAACCCCAAAGCCTCCTCTTATGTATTCAAGTTCCTTTATTCACAAGTGTTAAATGAGGTAATACATTTTTTTAAAGGAGAAGAAGTTATGATCCGAAATTCCTAGGGTGAAGGAAAGGAATTCCCCTGCTTTCTGGACAACTAGCAAACGTTTTAACACAAAGCAGCCCATTCTGGTCCAAAGCGTGGAGTTAAAGGAAATCGAATATCCTTTTTAGACTGAATGATATGTGACCAACCAAGATTCTAATGTGAAGTTCTTGTGTTAACCTCTTTTAGTGGAACCTTTCTGCATCTTTCCCCTCACCCCAAAAATCGGCAGTTCAAATGAAAGAAAAATGTACTAACTTTCTAAAGTCCACCATTATTATTGTAGTAGCACTTAGGAGCCCCTGTCATGGAACAGGACTCTGCTGTGCTAGAGGGGCTGTATGAAGCTTTTCCCTGCCCCAAAGAGCTCACAATCTAGGTCGAGTGACTCCTTCATTGAAAGCACAGCATGTCTATTGCCTCTTGATCTCACAGACCCTGCATGACAAATATAAGTATCTGGAAACAAGTCCCTTATATTGAGCAGTTCTTTCCAGCATTCCTAGCCTCCAGGTGGTGGTTTCCAATTGAAACCAAGGGCAAGCACCTTGCCATTCACAATGGAAACTCTTGGTAAAGTCATGTAATCTCATGCTGAGGAATCTTTAAAGGGATTGTAATGGCACACAGAGCAATACTGAGTGAAATTCGCAAATTGAAGCTAATCAGCCTTTGGGATTTAGCACATTATTGGCTTTGCCTCTCAAGTTTGGTTATAAATTCCATTGACTATTAGAGTCATGAACAACCAGGGTTTATACTATTAATACAAAACTCTCTCCTTTCTCCCTCCCCATGCCAGTCCTTGCTCGGAGCTGCCATGTGCTCACAGATAGTCAGCAATACTGTTGTCTAAATACCAAGGAGACAGAGAAAATCTTTAGTGAGTCTGGGGGAATCTGAGAATGAAGTCCCTGGGACGAATGGTTCCCCATCTGTAAAACCAGAGATACCAGACCTATCTCCCAAGGTGTTGTGGGGATAAATACATAAAAGACATTGAAGTGCTCTCCAAGCTACTGATGAAAAGCACAATATCAAAGCTAGGTGTCGTTTTTTATTATTGGTGGATACTAAGCAAAGTAAAATTCTGTCAAGAGGTCACCAAGCATTTTCTGAGAGCTCTTGGACTGTAGAATCGTCCCTCAAAGCAAGTCCCGGGCATGTATTAGTTTATTCAAAATAAACTATTTGATAAAATGCTATTAGGAAGAATTCTGTAGTGCCAGAGGGATGGGAAAAGGGATGATGCAGCAAGTCTTTTCCAGCTCTACTTTCTATGACTTTACTCAGCCTTTCACAGGCACCCGCAGGCAAAAGGTCGCCCACCTCCACCAATGTATTTGTTCAGATTTCAATAATAATAATTTTAAAAGGCCCAATATCCAAGAGTCTAAGTGTCCTAATAAAATCCCAGTTGCATTAAAATAACCATTTAACTTTGCCAGCCAGCTGCTTACAGAAGCATCTGGTGATGGACAGAGACTGGCGGCAAATCACCATGAGAAAAATCAATGTTCTTGCATCACTTCCATTTAATATGGGAAGTTCAAACCACACAGCCTCAACAACCTCAGATAATTGCCAGAAGCCATGGCAGGTGGGGAAAACTCAAGCATTGCAGGCTAGCCAGTTACAGTTATACTAATGAAAGAAAATTATATTAGAGCATTGCAACAGTGCAACCGATTGCTACATGTCAGGGTTAAGAAACACGAGAAGCAAAGAGCCATGGACTTCATTTGAAAATATCTTTTGCCGGGCTCAGCAACTTAATTTGAATTATGCATATGATTTTTATCATGGTGCATTTTATTTGTGTCTTGTTTGATGGCTTTAATGTTGTTTTGTGGAAAAGGTTCACGTGGCAAAAGGGTGCTATGAAAAGAAAATATATTTAGTTACTTTTAAGTAAAAAAATTAAAAACCAAGCTGGCTGCTACCTCCCTGCACTGACTAAGCCCAGACATTTATAATGCCACGTTAGCATTGTTACTAATGCAATTTGATGCCAATAGTTACATTTTAATGGGTGACTGCAGTTATAGAAAAGATCATACTTATTTCCTACTAGGAATTTAAGATAGAATTAAGAATGAGTCATTCATGTGCACATAAGTTCAAAGTAGTGCTAAATACATTGCCTTAATTAAGAAGGGGGGAAGTAGCTAAAATGTGCATGTACTGGAGATTCTATCACTGGGGATTTTCGTCTGTGATATCTTCAAGGGGAAATGTGGGACTGGAAAAAGTCAACTAGATGTATTGTCAAAACTGCTCCAGAATAAAATGGGGTTCTGGCGCTTTGTATTTTCTTGCAGCTCATAGCAATCGTGTTGTGAGAAATGGCCCAGAATTTATCACACACCAAGTTGACATGATCTATTTATGAGAGGGGTTTGTTCTGCCTTTTTTTTTCTAAGCGGCTAGAAGGGTTCCAAAGGTCCCGATCACGTGTTCTTCTTTTGTGAGGCTCTTTGAACACTGAGTCCATGTTGTTTGCCATTCGGTCTGTGCAGTTCTCTGGAATCCTGAGAGATGAAGGCAAATCTTCATTAAGCAGATTTGTATTCTTTATCAGGTTATGATTCGTTCTACAGCAGCGATAATCTCGATTGCTCCGTGCTGGATCAGCACACTAAACAGCTTTTGAAATTGATTAAACAGCTCGGCAACTACTCACCTTCAGAAGCCATTTATTGCTCCATAAACTGTGAAGCAATAAAGACAATAGAGATTGCCCCATTATTCCCTCATCAAGTTCTGTGCACAGCCCTAGATATGGCATGCACACAAGACAAACCAGAGGAGGCATTTGATAGAACTCTGTAGGACCCACCTAGTCATGGGATCCATCTTAGGAGCTTCTTCCAACATGCTTCTAGGAACCCAACATGGTGGCCGGGTAAGGAACAAGCAGGCCTTTGAGTTCCCCAGGCCAATGGGATACTTTTCAGCCATAGCGCTTTGGAGACTCCATTGTATTACGTGCATGTGGTGCCTTCGGCTAGTGCAAATAAAGAGTAATCTCCCCTCCTACCACCCAGGTCACTAGAAGTTAATGGAGTTAATCTATCTGAAAGGAGAATCACATGCATGTTATTCCCTTCTTAAATTAGTGCTGAGTTGTCAACCCTAGAGGGTCAGGTTCCCTGTCTGTCCCTACAGCTGGCACAGCACAGACAAGTAACCCAGAATGCAAGGAAAAGCATCTGTGAAGGGAGGGAATATACTAAATGGATGATCAAAACCAAGAGGCAAATCCTCAGGCCGTTGTTGATCCTGACTATTGTTCCCTCTATTTTTTTTTCTATCCATATGCGGAATAAATTTATGGGCACCCAGGCATGTGTGGATGTGCACTACCAATAGAAACACATGCTGCCAGAGGCAGTCTCTGCTGGGTGGCTGCCCAAGTGCTCAGCTTACAGGAAACATGGGCTCTGACTCAGGTGAACTCCTGAATCTTCAATGGGAGCCTCGACTGAGCACGTAGGCAACCAAGCAGTTTGCCCCACTGGAATTAGCATGAGTGAACAGCTCAGTTCACTTCTTGCCCACGCTCTGGGAAGTGCAGGATGCTCTGTGTAATAGAGAGTTTCAGTCTTGCTCAGTCTAGTTTTAAAACGCTGGGGAATTGGAATCTCTACCATTTCCCTTAGGAATCTCGTCCGCACTCGGACAGATGTTTCAGAGTAAGATTTGTGCCTCTGCCTGCCCTTATTTTGAGGGTTTAAGAGGGGCTTGGGCTTTTATGCTCACTCTCTGCTGCTGGGGGATTTCCTCGGCTTTTAGGGATTATGTCCCAATACTCACCTTGAAATATCTTTGTCTTAATTTCGCTCTATGGCACCTAGCTCTTGGGAGGATAAGCACATCCCAATCACCTTGGGGTTTACACTTTCTTGTCTATGTTCTTCGCCCACCCTCTGACAATGAAGCCCCTTTAAGGTCTCAAACTGGTAGTCACCTCTTAGCGTCTGACTAATCATATGCGATATAAATGCGTCCTATTTGTATTAGCCCATACAATAGCCAATAATCTGTGAGTGGCTCTCTATCATAAGCAATTGGTACCTACGGGAGAGAGGGGGTGCAGTGAGGCGTGCAGAAGAACAGGAAGGGGGCATGAGAGGACACCCTATTTAGCAACTGAAGTTTTGGCAGGGGCACAGGGAGGCAGTGCACACTCACACACACAATTTAGCACCCCCCCCCCCCTTTTTCCATCCCCTGCCAATGCCCTGGGGCAGACCCAGAGAACATCTGGGAGCTGAACATAAGAACTCCCATTTTGGGTCAGACTAATGGTCCATCTACCCCTGAATCTTGTCTTCTGACAGTGGCTGATGTCAGATGCTTCAGAGGGAATGAAGAGACCAGGGCCAGATTTATCACATGATCCAGCCCCTGTCATCCAGTGCCAGCTGCTGGCAGTCCAAGGTTTAGGGGCACCCAGTGTGGGGTGGCACCCCTGACTGTCATAGCTAATAGCTATGGGTGGTCCTGTCCTCCAGGAAATTATCTGAACCCCGTTATATTTTTTTCCCTTCATAACGTCCCTGGCAATGAATTCCACAGGCTGACTATGCAATGTGTGAAGTATTTCCTTATGTGCGTTTTAAACCTGCTGCCTATTAATTTCATTGAGTGACCCTGGCTCTTGGGCTATGCAAAGGGGTAAATTGCACCTCCCTATTCACTTTCACCACCTCGTTCATGATTTGTGCTGGGATGTTCACTCCATGCCATCCTTGAGGGGGTTAAAAGGGCTGCTTGATAGGATGGGCTGCACCTGGGTGAGGTGTAGGCTGCAGATACAACCCTAATTGAAGACC